TCACAATATCCAGATGCTGCTACAGCCGGACCTTCTGGAGGTTAGACTACTCAAAGACAATAATCCGAAAACTTTGGAGCTAAGCCGAATACTAAGAGAGCTAGCCACCTGTTTTCTCTGTCTGATTTCACCCATCCTGCATATCTTTATGCTGGTATGTTTCATAAAAAGGAGTAGGACGGAGGCGGCTGCAACCTCAGCAGCGAATGCATATGCTGAGACAAGACACATCACCGACACAAAAATTATAATTGGAAGTCCCACTTTCCAGTCGGCCACCATCTCATCTGACGCTGCTTCTCAGACTACAGCAACAATGAGATGGAGTAGCCTCAGTGGCCTTCTCATAGTCAGTCTATCGGGCCTCATCCTCCAAAAGGCAGTCAACATTCTCCAACTGATACTCAAGCATGTGGGACAGCCAGCAACCCTCAGTGTAAGCGTTTTGCCACGGGATAAGGAAATACCAGTTAACTTGCAAATGCCTCCTATTTCCGAGCCTGCAGACGAACCAGCATTGGGTGAAACCGTCATGCGAACCCTCAAATTGACAATACCCAGTTTTATGGGTAGTCCGTATCACTCGCCGACACGAAGCCCAGATACGTCTTTGCAGGTCGGTCTACTCGAACTGATGTCACCCTGCTTCCAGCTCTTAGAGGCGGCAGTACAAACAACTTGTCTCCTCTTGATTCCCCACTGTCACAGCAACAAGCGCCAAAACTATGAATACCAACCTCATCGCCAACGGAATAAAATCCGCTCGTCTTGCGTCAAAGCACATTCATTTGCCTGTCAAAGCATCCCAACATCAGACAACCTTAGTTTCCAGATTCCACAGTCCTCCAACCGTTCATCGAAGCCAACTGCCCCTCTACTGTTGAGTAAGCGGGTCAGTGCCTTATCACCGATTTCTCATACGACTCTGCGTGGCCACCTCCTTATAGTTATGGTTAGCATCAACTGTGCACTCTGGGTACTGCTAGTTCTTGCCACTCTACAGCTTGACTGCTCACCGTGGGGACCCCCACTATCTCTCACTCCGAGGCCTACTTCTACACCGCATCCAACTCAGATCCAGTCAAAGACGATCCCAACCGACTGGCCACTAGAATCCTCTAATTATGCCGAGTTTTCTCAAGAAGCCCATCACGTTAAGCGGTTCGAGTCAAAAATATGGATCGGTCTGGCTCGACTTGGCTTCGCAGCAAGCAGTATCTTTCGATTTACCAGCGTAAGCATCCTCATTCGAGACCTAGGCGGAGTTCATGCAGAATAGAATTCCAACTTACGTAAGGTCTTCAAGTCACCGTCATTTGAAGCATGGCATCCTGTGTAGTCCATGATCAAAATAATTAAATCTTATTCCACTTAGCTAGATGTAATAAACCAGGAACAATGCAATGTATTATATCAGACTATTTATTATAACTACAAATGATTTCAAAAATTCTAAATGGAGCAGCCAGAAACACCTACAAGGCACCTCTATTATACAGCAAGCTACATAAATCCTGTATTATCATCACAACGATCGGATTTAACATCTTCATGAACGTGTACTTCAGTTGGGAGAGGTGGGTATAAGTTAAAGCATCATTGCAGAGCTAAATATATTATTATCATCAAATGAGAGTTGTTGCCCCGAACCCATATCGAACATTCAGCCAAGTTATTCCCTGACCGACTAGACCTTATTTCATGTTCTATACAGATTTCCAGTAGCATTAAGCCTCTGCATTCAGCAAAGTTTGGGATGCATTTTATGAATGATATGGACGATGATCATCACTTATTTTCCAATACTGAAAGGTGGCGGCCAGAAGACCAAGTTAATACATTTCTAGAAAGATTTACATTGCATATAAAAGT